TTTAAATATACAGAGTTAATTTTTGCCTGGCAACTAAAAATCAATACTTTTTAAATAGCATGTATTTTATTTCATTTTTAGAATGGTTTGGTAATACTTTATTTTATTTATTTAACAAATATTACAGGTTTGCCAAGTGTGGCGTTCACTAGCGAAACTACCTGTATATACAGGGTGTCCATAAACGCTCTTCAAAGAATTAAACCACGAAATCTAGAGATGATTTTATGACGATTTAGCCTAAATTACTTTAATCCAAAAATGCTTCTTAAGGGAGCTAGAGCTCTTTGAAGATAGCGCTCTAAAATCGGTTTAATTCAAATACCTTCAAAACGGATTTATATTAAATGATATTATTGTGTATATTTATTTATTTGAATCTAACCAATCAAATTTCGTATATAAGATTTTTTAATGTAGTCATAAGTGGCTCGTTTGAGTGGGGTATTGGATATTTTTAATTAATTTTTTCTTTCAAAAATTCGCCATTTTGAAATCATATTTAAAAAGTTTCGTTATTTTATCACAAAACTGATGCTTTTGTTTGAAATGGAAATCAAGGAAAACCCTGAAATTAGCATAAGAAGATTAGCTGCAATGTATCCTAATATTTCTAAATCATCTGTGTGGAACATTGTCCATCGGGAAAACTTATACCCATTTCATTATAGAAAAATTAATGATGGTGATTTTCTTGCCCGTGTGGCCTTCTCTACAGTCTGTTCGCTATACTTACGCGGGTTTCGGATTAAAAATTTTATGAGTATTTCCAGGTAAGTACCCGAAAGTTTAATCTGTTCTTTGGGGAAATATCAACTGGTTAAATGAAATGAAAAATAATGTACAACTTTTTAATTAAATAATAATGGAGAATCTTGTGTATAATTGAGAGCAGAATTAAACTTCTTCATTAATTGAGTCTAATGTGGCTATTAGAAATCTAATAATAATTTTATATTACACTTCACACAGAAAATATGGTCTATGTATAATAAGAGGGTTATTTGGCTCAAATAAAATATTTTCTAACATAAAAATTTGTTCCATGTAGAGAATTTCAAATTAAAAATAAAAAAATTGAATTTGCTAACAAAAATAAAAATCAGTCATTATCATCCAAAATATCATAATCGTCATCATCATCACTGTCATCACCATTAACTGTTATTATGATTGGACTTATTTCGTTTGTTTTATTTTCACGAGTCTACCAATCTTCTATTAGTTTCTCGCACTTGGATATACAGTTCCGCCACACTTTTGGAGTTGCAATTGAAAGTGCTTTTAGCCAAGTTTCTCGAACTACGTCGTCAATATAACCATTAGGCCCAATATGGTTGTCATAATATTGTTTTGCTATTCCCCATATATATTCGATGGGATTAAACTGGCAATGATACGGTGGCAGACGTAAAACTTGATGACCGTAACTTTCAATAATCTGATCCACAACAAAGGTTTTTGGTTTTGCGTGTATATTTGCCAAGCGTAATAATTCTGATTTTAATATACATTGAGGAAATGGTATATGTTCCTTTGTCGACCATTCTTTAATTTTATCAACAGTCCACGAAATCGTTGGACTTTTGTTTAATACTTCAGAATGGTAAGGTGCATTGTCTAAAATAATTACGCTGGGCTCAGTTAAACCTGGGAGAAGTTTTTCATGCAACCATTTTACAAACATTTCTGTGTTCATATTATCGTGACAGTCACTGGATTTTGATTTAGATGAAAATATTAAATCAGCATCTTCTATAAAACCCGATTTCCCTCCTGCATGTAAAATTATGTGTCGCTTCCCTTCTCCATCGGTATGTTTGATGGACTTTACGTTATCATCTTGCCATATTCTCTTGGTTGCACTCCTAGAAAATATCCATGTTTCGTCTAAATATATAAAATTCTTCTTTAAATTTAGAATATTTTCTTAAAAAGTTAATTCTCTTGTGCATTACAGAACTTCTTTCACAAAGGGCCTTTCTGTTATCCTCCATTTGAAACCCAAGTTATGTATCACTTACCATAGACTTGTTCTGCCAATGTACGTCAAATTTTCTATCTATTAATTTCGAGAGAATTGTATTGTCACATGTTCCTTGTTGGCCCTCATTCGATAAATGGTATCATGAATTTCAAATTTCTTTCCATCTGGAATATCTTTTGTTTTCAATGATGGGCGAGTTTTGTGGTGATCTTCTTTCGGCAGTTCACTATTGTGATTTTGTAATACTCCTCTTAATTTGGTTTCACTAATTCCTAGAGCATCGCATACGCGTTGTTGTACAGACATTACCGATTTTAAAGGTCCGCTATTTTCTGTTTCATCCGTAAAATACTTATGTACACTACAAATTAGACTATCTACATCTAACACACGTCTAGGCATTTATAAAATTTCCACTAAATTTACAATATACATACAATGTCAACACTTGCAAAGAATCAATTCAACTGCAATATTTGTAACAGATTTAGTACCTACCCTAATGTTATTTTAATTTAAATCTGACCATTAGGGCAATTTTACCTAATTTCTTGGAAAGGGGCTTATTGGAACTGGTTGTCAATGACTAATTTGCATAATTTTGTTAATCCGAAACCCGCGTAAGTATAGCGAACAGACTGTAGTTGATTACTAATGCAAGAAAATCAAAATCATTCCTTTTTTAAACATTTTGTTTTGTGATGAAGCTATTTTCACAAGAAATGGAATTTTTAATATGCTACTCTTATGTTGATGATAATCTTCATGTTATAAAAGAAACTAAACATCAGGAAAGATTTAGCATCAATGTATGGATAGGTGTCCTTGGTGACAATCTGCTTGGGCCTGTAGAATTGCCCAATCGTTTAAATGGTGAGAGTTATCTCGACTTTTTACAAAATACTTTACCAGATTTATTGGATGACATTAATTTAAATATTCGACAGAACTTGTGATATTGACATGATGGTTGTCCAGCTCACTTTTGAAAAAATGTTCGTGAGTTTTAGACAATAATTACCGAGACCGATGGATAGGAAGAGGCGGTTCCGTTGCTTGGCCAGCGAGATCTCCGGATTTAAATCCATGCGATTTTTGTGTATGGGGATATCTCAAATCAATGGTTTATTCGCAACCAATTGAATCACGGAATTACCTTTGGAAATGAATTCAGAATGCTTACAAGAATTTAGAAATAATATGGGAATTTTTGCAAGAATTCGGCGATCTTTACGGAAACGAATAAATTTGTGCATAGAAACGGATGGCCATCATGTGGAGCATCTGCTTTACATTTAATTTTGTGTTTAATACTGTCAGTTATCATTTTCTTATTATTTTTTTAAACAAATTGTATCAACAAAAACTTTAATTTTTACATGAATTAATTTTTTTACTTCAGTAAAGCATAGTCATTAATTGAAAACATTTTTTTGAGTACTTACCTAAAGTTTGGGTAAAAAGAGTTTAATATGTATTTATACAATTCTTAGGTATTTTGTTTATTTTCCATGGCCACCTCATCATAATTATGAAATTTATTTGTTAATCAATGAAAACGTAGGTAGAGTTGATTTTTCTCGAAAACGGTTGGTCATGGCATCATTTTTGTGTGAAAATTACAATTTTTTTTTAATTTCATTTCAAAATGGCGACTTTTCGAAAGTCAAAAAAAAATTAATAAAAATATCCATTACCTCACCCAAACGAGCCGCTTATGACAACATTAAAAAAATCTTATTTACGAAATTTGATTGGTTAGATTAGCTGTTTTATTATTGAAAATTCGAGGACATTTTTAATATAAAAGTTGTATGGCCATATTTAACAATTATTCCTAAATATACAGGGTAGTCCATAAACAAAGTGCTGACCAAACTTATACTTTTTTAAAGCAAAACACCTTGCATATTTGATGGTTTTCACATCGTCAATTTTAAATGAATAAACATTTGCTCTATTATATATAGGGTATGTCAAAACGCGAGGTTACGATTTTCTCAATTTTTTAAATGGAATACCATATATGTTATACCACAAATTAATTAATATCGGGTTTTCAATTATAAATTGAGAAAATCGTAATCGTAATCGTTATGACATACCCTACAAACAACACAGCAAATGTTTATTAATTTAAAATTGTTTGACGATGTAAAACCAATCAAATATGTAAAACTACCTGTAGGGTGTTTTCATTTAAAAGTATAGGTTTGGTCAGCTTCTCGTTTATGGACGACCCTGTATGTATAATGATTGTTAAACATGATCATATAACTTTTATATTAACAGTTCCTAGCTAACGATCAATAATTACGCACTGATGACTATGAGACATCCTGTATATGTTTTATTGGCTAACATGTTGGTATCGTCGGATAGGTAAATTTATAAGGAATGTTATGCTATAATAATATACAGGGTGTTGCGTTTGAAAAAATTTACTAAATTAAACTTGAAATTATCCATATTTAGTACATGTTTCAACTAAACCATTTATATTACCACTATTTGTTAGCCTAGTATCTTATAAGTCTGCGTTTTAAACAATTTTGAAATCAATGTAAATCTACCTAAATTATGATAATTTAATTTGGGGTCTGCACCATTCTCTAATTTCATTAAAAAAATAAAATGCTTGGCAACCCTGTAATGTGTTTTAAAAAACTTCCAGTAATAAATAGAGTATTACCAAACCATTCTAAAAATTAAATTAAATACAAAATGCTATTTAAAAAATATAAACTTTTATTTGCCAGGCAAAAATAAAACACCCTGTACATTAAAAAATATTTTTAAAATATGCATTTTTTAAATTCTTATAACTTTTATTTGAAACTTTTTTGCGTGTCTATAAAACAAATTGAAATAATAAACAATTACGCACTAATGGGGGACACCCTGTATAAAATATGTTTCAAAAATATATTTTTACAATTTACATTTAATAATTCTTTAATATATATAGGTACAGGGTATTAATAATTTTTATTAAAATCCAAATATTCCTTACCCAGTTAATACTGAAACTATTACAAAAATGTATCCTATTGAGGTCATCTTCGTTCAAAATAAGGCACCGTTGTGTAAACATTAAAGAGAATCGATCTGATTTTGTTTGTGCAATTATCTAATATTCTCCAAAATCAGGGGTGATAAGATTAAAAAATTATTAGTTTACCTAACTGAGTGGCAGAGTTATTAAGATAAACAATATAGATAACAATTATGCTTTTTCTCGGAAAACAGTACTGAGTATTATATTAATCAATTAGTAAAATTTTTTACATAACCATGATACCGTGCTTAAAATATTACAACTAATAAGCAACAATTCGACGAAGTTTTTATAAAAAAAAGTAACCCGGCAGGTTTCGAACCTACGTTATCCAACATACCGAGCTAGCTCTTAAGTAACTAGACCATCAGAGGGTGGTACATGAAGAGGTTCTGACACATACTTTGATTACTATACAGTGCAAAAGAGAGGTCCGACACGCCCAACATAGGGCGCGGCCATTTTGATTCCTATGCCACAGTTTATAGCTAAAGAATCAGATCGCTCACTTTGCGTCGGCACTTTTGATCTCAATGTTCCAGTTTATACATTTCGCAACTCGGATAATACAATATATGACAAGCGCCTATAATAAAACAGCAGTCTTCTGCGTATCCTGAATTTGTATCCTTGAAGAGAATGCAATTTTGAAACTTTCAACTGGTCCGAGTGAGCTTAGTGATTCTTTAGCAATAAACTGTGACTCCAAAAATAATATTCACTGGCACTGACAGCAGCAAGCAAAATATCAGGTGCGTTTTAATTATCCGCTTCTGCTTCCGGAATTGTCGGTTCAGTCGTTTTAACCTGTCAGATTAAAACAAGAAAACCGACAATTCCGAAGCAGAAGCAAATGATTAAACCGCACCTATTAAAAATATTGCGCCGAGATGTAGGCAACACGTCATAAGGGATCAAAATGGCGGAGTTTTCTATCTCCTTTTAAAGCAGTGCAGTGCGACCATTCTCCGTATAGTAAAAGAAAATCAAAGTATGTGGGTAATGATCTCTTCTCGTACCGCTCTCTGATGGTACGATATATTCAACTCAGTAATACGTAGATTTTTTTAAATTTTTCTATCAAGCAATGATTTATGTCCATTTCTTGAAATGACATTTATAATGAGCGATGCAAATTAACCTAAGGCTGTATGTATCTAGCCTTTCAGAATATCTTGAAGGGATTAAAAAAACGCAAAACAGTTATATTTTTATTACACAGATACATTTTGTAGATATTATATTTTGGATAACACCCTTTAGATAGCTCATTATTTATGTTAATTTTAATATTTAAAAAAATACTATTAACATTATTAGGAAAAACAGACTATATTAGATTTTCACAAAAATCATTTTATTTTATTATAGACCACTTCTCCATCGTGTTTCATTTAATCTTGGTTTATATAAAATTATTTTTATGACAATATCTGGCATCAACAAAAATCCAATTAAAATCGTTAATTTTCAGTCACATGTATCAGCATATACAATCAGCTCTGACTTACATTGATAAGTTCTCTAGAGATATTATTACTTGTACCAAACAAACCAATATGTAGGAACTGTTACGTCTATTTTTTAAACCGCTAAATGATAAAACTCAAAATTGGACGTTTCGTCTAATAACTATTTCATTATTTAATTATTAAAAAGGTTCACAGTACAGACGTAATTCATGACTTTTTACCCTTTTTTCCCATGTCATTATCGATCAGTATTTAATACGAACGTTAATCTGGTGTACCCCATATGTACACCAGGCTTAATAATATGACATTTCTCAAAAGTAAAACTTTCAAATTATTTTTTTTTAAATGGGTGTCGGATGCAAATGGAAGTGTTAAAGACCAAGCTTTGATACTTAAGGATTGGGCAGTAAATATGAGAAAAAAGATGGTATCAACTTTATAGAATATAACTAGTACCTTACTTTTTATTAAGTAAATAAATTAAAATATGCCAAAAATTTTCTCACCGAATATCCCTCGGCCCACGGTTCGTAGACAACACGGTGGCCTCTTCCGTCCGTTGCTAAGGAAGGGTGTGACGTCACGGAATGAAAAATTGAGTTGACAGAAAATATTCTGCAGATGTTTAAAAAATCCATTATTTTATTAACATTTAGTATTTGTATTTTTGAACTATATACCTGTGTTGGAATTTCAAAAGAAAAGCTGCAAAACGACATGGAAAAATCATGTAATGATTTCTATCAAATTTCAAATGAATTACTTGTTATTAGAATTATAAAGAGAAATATTATTGCGATTATTTTAAACATTTTGGATTAGGGTACGGCCTCTGAGCTAAATTCCCATCACACTTTGTTTATATCCCGAAATTTTTTGAAAATTTGGCAAGCCTGGAGCGAGTCGTAGTGTTGCTGTTGGCAAACAATTTTACTTTTTACACACAAAAATCGTTAGAAGAGATAAAGGGGCTGGGTCTAAACTGAAATTAAAGATTTTAGAGTAATTATTCTTTTTATATTTGACATAACATATAAAGGGTTTATTTTTAAATGCATTTATTTTTTATTGGCTTGCAATATTGGGGCGAAAACTGGAAAAGTTTTGCATGTTTCTTTTAAAAGTAAGTATTGTCCTATCTGTGCACGAGCTTTAACTAAAAACATAAAAGCTGCAACTCATAAATGTTCAAAAAATTGGGATGGTTCGTCGACTTCTATGGAATCGGAACTAATTTTAGAAAGATTCCGTAATATTATAAAAATGCACAAATTTAAATATGTAAAAATTATTGGCATCTCCATCGCCAATAATTTTCAGTCGCTACAAAATGAGGAGAAGATCAGGAATCTATTGCGATAGAAGAATTTAAAAATAAATATGGGAAAAGGTACAGGAATGTGGATTATTTATTTATAAAAAACGTCTATACTTGGGAGCAAGTCCAGACGGCATTAATAATAATAATAATAATGAAATAATTGAAATTAAATGCTTATATTCTTGTTACAAATTGACACCAGAAATGGGAATTCAAGAAAAAAAGCCAATAAAAATGGCCAAATAAAAAAAAATGATAATTATTATTACCAGGTACAAGGACAATTGGCTATACCGAAAGCCAAATATTGTTATTTTATAGTTTGGACCCCACTAGGAATGTTCCGTGAGAAAATTGAAAGAGATGACAATTTTTGGTTATGTGCTGAACCAAAATTAGTTGATTTTTATTTAAAATATTCAATAAAAGAAATTGTAATAAGAAATTGATGTAATTTATTTTTTTTATGATTGTATTTTGTTATGTGAAATAAAATGTTTCATTAAAAGTAGTAGGTAATTAAAGTTTTTTTTTAAGTATTTAATTTATTTCGACCTATTTTTACTTTCAGTGAACGAAGAAAATATAGAACCACTACATTGTCTTTTTACGAAATTAAAACAGAGCATAATATATTATGTACATTAAAATATACATGCGTACGATAAAATAGTTTTCAAAAAATTTTTCGTCTAGAGTAGAAATTAATTGTGAGATTGATGCGATTTTGTTAAAAAAAAATTATTTTATACTAGCTGACCCAGCCACGCGTTGCTGTGGCTCAGTAATTATAATACATTGAATCAATTTTTTACTAATTCTTTGGTACAATCAAATTAATATTTTCTAAAAAAATTTAAAATAAATTCATTCTTATGAGATTGAAAATAAAACGTTTCGCCAAAATTTAAAAGTAATAGGTAAAGTATCGAAATGTTGAAATTAAGCACAAACCAACATATACTTTCGGAATTTACATTTTATTCATCTTATATTAAATTATAGTTTGTAATCAGTGACTTACTTACAAAATCTTTATATATATAAAACTTTCGTGTCACGATGTATGTTCGCGACTTCGCGATAAACTCCGAAACTACTGAACGGATTTTGATGTGCATTTTTACTATACTGATTGTTAAGGTTAGATTTTTTCCGCAGCATTATACTGAAACAAAAAAAAATTAAAAGAATTTATCATTTGAATAAATAAATTAGATCAAAATAAACGGCTGAATAAATTAATAATTATCAAATTATAAAATAAAAATAAAAGGCTATCAAGAAATACTTACATGTTTTCGAGATGGTATGAAGAATATTCTTGACGGGTAACGACATTTCCAGACATTTCGGGACTATTTCATCTTTTTTTACTTGTACTTTTACTTATATCGACCGCAGCACACTATAGTGTGATGGGTGACATTGCACTTATTTTCATATTTGTACGTTTCTCATAACGGCCGCAGGCCACTGCAGGGTGTAGTGTAACATTAATGTCTGCCGGATACCTGTGCAACTTAGATGCTAAACCGCCATCTATTAGGAATTTATAGAACTAACCGATAAATACACCCTAATGTCGTATAATAAACATTTAATTTACAATAATAAATATTGAATAAAAACTATTCTATCTTTTAAGTTGGACCAAATTATAAATGGTTACAAAAAATTTTATCAATATCCGTTCAGTAGTTTCGGAGTTTATCGCGAACATACATCGTGACACGAGATTTTATACACACTAATGTCGTATAATAAACATTTAATTTACAATAATAAATATTGAATAAAAACTATTCTATCATTTAAGTTGGACCATATTATAAATGGTTTCCAAATTTTATCAAAATCCGTTCAGTAGTTTCTGAGTTTATCGCGAACTACATCGTGACACGAAATTTTTATATTTTATATTTAAGAAGGTCCTTTCGCCACCAATGTTAAATAAAAAATATTAGATTATGACTAAAATTTTTTTTTTCTAATAGTAGATGTCCTTATTTATCTAATAGTGAACTTTTAACTATACCTTACCGTGCAAATTTTTGAGAATTTTTTTTTTTAAATTTGTGTGTTTGTACAGTGTCTTATGAGAAAGTAAGACTTCAACAACAATTTTCGAATTATAATTAATTTTACTATTATTTATTGATTAGATGGAGTAGAAAAAAACTAAAAATAAGGTTTTTGAAATATTTAGGTTTTGTTTTTTACAAAAAAATATATAGGTTACCGTGGAATTTATTGAGAAATTATTATTAAAAAATCACAAAAAATTTTCAACTAGGTTACTTGAAAATTTTTTGTGATTTTTTAATATTAATTTC